TGAAGTATACACTTGAATATATTAAAAATTCTAAACAAGAAATGCAAAGAGTTCAAAACGAAATTGAAATGCTACATGCTACAAATATATTGCTCCTTTTTTCCTTTTTTTAAAATTTAAATTAAAATATTTTGACAACTTTTAAATAAAATTGTAAATTGATAAAAAAATTTAATTTAATTCTATAAATAAATAGAAAAATAGAATTAAAATAAAAAATTTATTTGATTATTCAATTTAGAATAATACTGTTTGTTAAGAAGTGTGTATTATAAAATATAGCTAATTATAATTTAAATTGATAAATATAATTACGATTTAAAATAGATAAATAATTGAAAAGTAAAAAATATTTCTAAATTAAATTTATTCACCTGAAAAGTTTCGATTAAAAATTTAATTATCATTAACCAATTAATTGAATTTTAACTTTCACATTCAGGAATTCAAAAATTAAGAAAGAAATAAAACTGGTCTTACACCTTTTTTTTTGAAATGAGTGTTCTTTTTAATTATGCCAAAAGAAGGTAAATATTCTGGTTTTTAAATTCATTAACTAAAAAATTAATATTAATTTTGTTCTTAAAAATTTGTAATGTATCAAATCAAAGCAACCAAAGGCAAGAAGGTAATATTGATTTACAAATCTCTCTGTTTATCTAATGTTTATTTATTTTTTATTTATATTTTCTCAGGATGTCAAGCTTACAAAAGGAAACTTGGTATTCGACTCTCCTGTACCTAATACGATTCTTCATAATATTTCCAACAAATCCGATGACGAATTTACGCATATAAGATACACCGCAATTACAAGCAATCCAGATGAGTTTGAAGGAAAGAAATATTCGATTCTACAAAATAATTATAATCGAAATACTGAAATAATGGTTGTTATTACAATGTATAATGAAAATGATACTCTCTTTATTAAAACAATGTCTTCTGTCATCAAAAATGTGGCCTATATTTGTTTTAAAAACAGATCAGAAATATGGGGAAGTGAAGGTTGGAAAAAAATTGTCGTGTTAATTGTTTCAGATGGTCGTAATAAAATCAATAAAAGGACTCTAAATGTTCTGAGTGCCATGGGATGTTATCAAGATAGAATTATGCAAGATCGTGCCAGAAGAAAACCTATCACTGCGCATCTTTGTGAATACACTACACAATTAATGGTCGATAATGATTTTAATGTTCAAGGA